TACCGAAACGTCCCAATACGTGGCTACTCAATGCGAGATATGACGGCACCCCTCAAATGCGCTTCGCCCATTGTCAGCCATCTTGGTTATCTATAGACAAATTGTTCGTGTACTCACCCAACATTTGGTTAAAAATTTTATCGAAGTTCACTTCATTCTTCTTCTCCAGATATCTATGCATCACACTGCGCACACTGAAAAGAGAATAAACAAAAGTCATTACGAAAGCAAGATCCTGAATGATGACCAGTAAAGAAGCAATCGGCTTCTAATGAACAAAGGCACTACGATGGACCCGCGAGGGGGCACAACGCACCGTGCAGCAGACGGCCGATGCCCTGAAAGCTGTCAACGTCGCGCCGGTAAAAGCGGCACTTGGTGGCGAAAAGTACGAAGAAGGCAACAGACACCAACTAGTCCGACCTGACAGCGGCCGATCTCAACGAACGCCAAGTGCCCTCAGTGTGGAACCGAAGGCTTCCTCTTGCCCCTGACAACGATTCACAGACGCCATCTACAGGGTGTTGCACGAGGCCTGGTCACCTTTTACATCCATTTCATGACATTTCATGACATTTTATAACTTGTTTTATTCAGTCACTTTTTTACTCAACTGTAGCAGTCCCTTGGTGAATCACAACAACAACCGATCCAATGTCAGTCCATGTTTACACTGCACACTCCGCGCAAATATAGGCCTTACTTACGGCACCCACACCGAGTAATAACTACGGGATTATAAAACATAAGCAGCGTTTCAAAAACAGACTCTTCTATGGTCTAATAATCTGCATTCTGCTGTGTCACATGAATTTCATCTCCACGTTTCACAGGACAGCTAAAATAATAAGTTCATTAATCGATGCTGCCTTGGAACTAAACTAGGACTCATAACATTATCAAGAATAATCAAAATTCGCTTCTTTCAATGTATTTCCTTTTCCCACTTCATATAAAACCCCACATTTCAATTTTGAAACTACTTACTTGCTTCAACACACAGTCACCCACCAGAGTTTTGCTTCTAGCTGAAACGAGTCCTTCGAATGCCTTCACAAAATTAAGGTTGTCACAACGCATGGCATGAACAACCTCTTGCATATCAGAACTGAAATAATAATTCCCCCCAGACTGAAAATTGTGGTGGTGGGTGGGAGCCATGTAAGTTTCTTTGCTTTTTCTGGAAATCGAGCTATTTCTCTGGATTCACTCAAAAAAATGTAATTTTTTGTGAGGTTTGAGATTTTCATGATGGCAAAAATTATGAGCACGGCCTAGTAGGTCACGACACCACGTAGTCTTGCAGGCGGTTTCAAACAATTCAGAGGAGCCTGCCACCTCCACCATCCTGGCAAACACACATGGTTACAATCTAACTAAAAACCAAAATGCATGACCATGGCAGCAAGAGAGACTGAGCTCCATCGCGAGAACATAAGCCCTTTATAGACGATCAGGCTTCCAAGTCCTTCTGCTGGAAGATTCCCATAGTAAGTAAGGGATGCTGGGCATCTGGCTTGTAGGAACTTCTGATTCCCTACTAACTGTAGGGTCCTCCATGGCAGAAGCTCCTTGGTGTTTATGTGAAGAAGCTACACAGACATGTGGATTTAATTTTAAACAAACAAATATTCAGGCCATAAAGGGATAAAATGGATAATGATTTCACCCTGGAGCCCCTCATCTACACCTGAAGGAACAAAATAATGGTCTCTCTTTAGACAAGGCACATTTCCACTCAAATTTACTCTGAATGTGGTCCTTACAAAAGCCTTCCCTTCAGGGTGTTCCTTGAAACTTGTCTCTTTCACAACCTCTCCTTTTACTTCCTTGTCAACAGGCACTTTCTGCCTTGAAATCTCTCCCTTCAGATCCTCTTGTCTTCTCTATTTCCATTCTCCCAAAATAACTAAACCACATCCCTACTAGGACACCTGTCATCTGGGTTGGAGTGGATTCCAGCAGAACTGATCAAAGCAGGGGGCAAAACATTGCATTCTGCGATACACAAACTTACCTGCTCTATATGGAATAAGGAGGAAATGCCACAGCAATGGAAGGAATCTATTATTGCATGAATACATACAGAGGGTGACAAGACTGACTAATAATTATCGATGATTCTCTCTATCATCTGCATACAAAATTTTGCCCAACATTCCTCTGACAAGGTTTACTCCATACGTCAATGAAATTATTGGGGATCATCAGTGTGGGTTCTGTCATAACAAATCTACAACTGATCAAATTTTCCACATTTGCCAGATGCCAGAGAAAAAAATGGAGTACAATGGGACAGTACATAAACTATTTATAGACTTCAATAAAGCCAATGTCTCTGTTAAAGGAGAAGAATTTGGTGTACCATTTCACTATGGTAGGTGACCTGCATAATTCGCTGAGCTTCTCGCTATGCAATATTTTAAATTCCCACTTCTTTCATCCTTCATGGTCGAAATATCTTCCTGAGCACCTTGTTTTCAAACATTGCAATCTGCGTTCTTCCTTGAAGGTAAGATACAATCTTTCACAACCACACGAGACAACCGGTAAAATTATTATTTTATATATCCTGATCTTTAGTATTTTGGATAGCAAATGGGATAATAACAGTTTTTGAATTAAATAAAAACAAGCATTCCCCGAACATCTTCTGCTCTTATTATCATCATGGACCTTGATTCTATTTGTTATTGCTGATCCCAGATGCTTGTATTTTGAAACATTATCAAATGATGTGTTACTTATAACTATGATCCACCATTGTTGTTTGTTCCAATTCCCAAGTCCTTTAAATGTTGCCTGGGCCATTCCATACAATCAATCCAATTTTCAGGGTTTGCTGTAGTTTTTGTAACATGAACACTTTTACGGTGAAGGGTTGTTGGCCCTATGCTCAATCTCCAAGCTGCAGGACCACCCCTTACCGGCTAACCACTACTGCTTATTCAGCATAGTCCCAGCTAATCTTCATAACTGGAGGTTGTCCCTCCATCCATGACCTGAGGACGTGCCATTCCATGGTGACAGGGACCCACCTACTCTGGTACAAAATTCACTTTACAAGCTTGTTTTGTCATAGGACTGATGGAAAGGTAGGAAAATGGTTACATGAAACAATAATATTTGCCCAAGTTGGGATAAAGTTAAAATGCAGACCAACTAGAGTCAATACTTGACATGACTGTATTCATTTGTTATTCTGTTAGTGTTATGGTTGCCTTGATGAAGTAAACACTCATGACATGGCATGAAAAAAGCCTTTGAAATGTCAGTGTACTCCAAGCAGTATACCATCCTATATTGTTTCATTGTATATTAAATACCATCCACCACCATAAATGCAGCTTCAAAACCTGTCATTTGCTGAAGTTGATGGAACTTGTGAATTTAGCATATCATACTATGCTTTACAAGTTCCTTAGTGTCTTTACTGGTTTTAAAATTACTCTATAAATCAAATTTTGATGCCACATATACCACATAATTTTGTAGTTCTCATATTTTTCACTAATGTCATGTAATGTTCTACATCCTTGGCTAAGGCCTATAAAGGTTGTATGGAATGTAAATAAATTCTATTCTATTCTATTCTATATGGTACAATCTTCTGCAGAAATTCATCTAATGGTAATGAAGTTTTGCTGTTGCAAAAGAAAATGATCAGAATTATAGCAGGAACTCAAGTGTCATGTAGAGCATTCTTTTATATTTGCATTTTACCACCTACTTCTGAGTACATATTTGCTTTAATGAGATGTATAACAGATAAGCATAACATTTTTAAGTCAAATTCAGAGGTTCATTCAACACAAACATGATCTCTGGAAACCAGCCACTAAATTCAGTGTACCAAAACAGTGGATTCTGTGCATGTATTCAACTGTATATCAAAATCCAGTACTAATTAAGAATCTGTTTACCAACAGAAGACAATTTCAATTGGCATTAAAAGGATACTTTCTGACACAGATCTTCTACTGTGTTGACAAATTTATAAATTTTACATCATTTGCAGATGTTAATGGCATTCAAAATTTCAAACTTATAAACTCGTTTTGCCTTATTTTTTGTTAAGCACTTCTACGATGCTACTCCAATGTTTTCATTTAGGCTAGTAGTATTTCTGTCCCCTGTAGTATGATTCTTCTTTTGTACACTGACTTGCTCTACATCTTGAGAGACTAGATCAGTAATGTTGACATAAGCTAATCTCAGATAAATTTTAATGCAGTACAGAAGCGAATGAATAACACTGCCCATTCATTGCACATTTTAAACATAAATGTGTCCGTGGATTTAATTTCAAATTACGACATAAAAAGTGCTACGATTATTATATCCCTCGGCCATTCGCAAGTGAATATGTCAATGTGTCTTATTTTTTGGAAAACTAGAAACATCTTATTCATAATGTATGATGATTGGCTGCTGTCAAAATACAGAATTCTTTCACGGCAAGAATGACAGCTGCCTTTTCAACACACACTTTAGATTGAAAATGCTGATATTTGTAATCATGATTTGTACGTACCTCGGATCTGGAAGTACAATTTTTTTACTAGCTCTGGCTGCTGGAGTACATTTGCTTTTCTCCATAGCCATCAAGTAGCTCACGTCTGCGAGCACCGCCTCTAGATCCGCCATTTTGCGACTTTTCTTTCACCTCCGACTCTCACAAACACGCACACACACACAAAACACGTAACTACAGCATACTTCAACCCAACATGGGAGGGATTCACTAATTACAACAATAAGTCGACCAATTTCGTTTAACTATGTATGTATAATACTACTAAAAGTTTCATTTATTTGGCACAGAATTTACATTTTCCATTTCTTCTTCGTTACACAACACAAACCTCACCACCAACCACACAAAACTCACTGACTGCTACCAACCTGCTTGCTGTGATGTAATCCGTGCTCTGATTGGTCAGAATATTATAGTTCTGAATGTTCCCTATAGGTTTTGCAGGCATGGGCTTAAAATCACTGATTAGAGGAGGGGAGGGGGGATGAGGTATTCATGCTTCGCAACTGTTTGTAACAATGGCTGCAGTGTTTAACGCTTTGAACGAAGACTGTAAAGCAAAATTTCAGCATTTAGCATGCAGTTTAACAAGTTTTGTCCATGGAAGTGGTGAAGGTGACAGACAAAAATTAAACTCAATATTCGACGAACTAAATGCTCTGGACTTCAGGTCACCTTTGGTTGGCAATTCAGACGTAAGTCAAATACTTAGAACAAATTTTTGGGGTTTCAATAACCGGATGTGTTTTGTAACGTGTCGTATTGAAGTTGAAATGTTGCCGTTATTGGGTATTCTTTAAGCTTTAGCGTAAGCGAAAAATGTCATGGCCTATTTGTACGGTCTGTCGCATCGTGCTGGCATCTATCGGTGGCCTTACGAAGTACATGTTCTATCATTGTTACGACTAATTGTATTGTCATGAAATTTGGTGCCCATACACGTGTGGACCTTATGCCATTGGTGTATAGTCCACACATTTGCTTGCCCGTTTCGGAATCTCAGCCTTATCG